CTACATCATTGAGGCATGGTCATTCTAATTGTTTCCCTTCTACATCATTGAGGCATGGTCATTCTAATTGTTTCCCTTCTACATCATTGAGGCATGGTCATTCTAATTATTTCCCTTCTACATCATTGAGGCATGGTCATTCTAATTATTTCCCTTCTATATCATTGAGGCATGGTCATTCTAGAAAAATAACATTACTTCCATTCTACATCACTGAGGCATGGTCATTCTAATTATTTCCCTTCTACATCATTGAGGCATGGTCATTCTAATTATTTCCCTTCTACATCATTGAGGCATGGTCATTCTAATTGTTTCCCTTCTACATCATTGAGGCATGGTCATTCTAGAAAAATAACTGATTATTTCCCTTCTACATCACTGAGGCATGGTCATTCTAGAAAAATAACATTACTTCCATAAGATAATTCAAAGGCCGCTATAATAATCAAACAAAGTGGAAAATGGTATTGGTTAGAAGCAATTATACGATACACGCTTGTTTGAATTTCTATGTTAGTTATTGGTTAGTTGTATCGTTTAATTAGATAAGCATTACATATACGAGTGATGAAGTACCATTAGTATGGCGGACTTTCTATTTTTGGTTTCAAGCTGTGAAATATTTCATTTACGTCGTGATTACAAAAACTCCTGCTGTATAATTTATTTATCTCACATGGTGGTTCATATACGTTTTTAGTTGACACAGAAACCTGCGTCTCCGAATTTATCTTTGGATGTTCGAACACCAATGTTTTATATGTATTAGGTTAATGAGTTATTGTGAACAATAAAATTTATATTCATAAAACAAAACCAAGCAGAAACTCTGTTATTTGTGTATAAAAAATATGATCTCAATATATGTGTGTATTTATACACACAAGGTATCCCATAGCCAACCACCCTTTTAAAAATAGGAAAACAAAACTACAAGTAATTCAATATAATTTTGTTAATAATTAAGGTGTATTTTGCATTGATAATGGCGATGGGCACTTTGAACATTTGTAATGTTAGACTGATTCAATGATCGTACAACCATATCTTTATCATTAACAAAAATGTTTGTTGCGTTAATTATTGTTTCGTTTTCCTTTATTAAAAAAGGGTGGATGGTCGCTTTAGCCCATTATACATACGTATATATATATATATGTGTGTGTGCTTCCCAAACTAGAAGAATAAGGATACACACTTTCAACGGTATACCGTCTCGCACGTGCTTTCTACATATACATTCAAGATATCTTGCATGTATAATTTGCTAAAAATATGCACAATTTTATGCTTTATGAACATACGAGGTATCTAATTAAAGTGCACATAGTCAAAACTTACAGTGGTAAACTTCCTAATATCCTCGCGATGTTTAACACCGCTAAGTGTATAATTTAAATTCCTACCACGTTCTCCATATACAAAAGATATTGGACCCAAGATTACCTAATTTCTTTAAAGAATAATACGTGTTACTTCGTGTGGAGAGGTCACCACTGTTAACCAAATGATCTATAATCCAATACTTTGTTTTGTTTTTGGACGATATATATATATACAATCCACGGCTATGGTTAAGCAAATGATAACAAAATTTACATGATGACTATGTTTACAGAAATAAGCACCAGCCAAAAAAAATCAATGCGAACAGCGGTATGGGAGTGGGTAGGGGGGGGGGGGGAAGTGGTAACGTGAATTTCCTGAAGCACGGTTTATTAAACTTG